TCAGCGAATGTATTTATGATGTGCTGAAGCGGCATTACATTTATTGATTCTATGTCTTGGTGAGAACTAAGAAGAGCTCTTGTATCGAGTTCCATTTCTCCACATTCCATCCTCACATTTTAAGCGAAAACGTAAATGACGGACGGGTGTGTGGTCACCGCTAGCCTTGACACGTCGAGCTACGCGCGGAGAGGGGAGAACGCGCCCCGGACTCGGACCAGTCGGCCGCTCCGCTCCCGCCAGACCCGGCCCGGACGGGCGTCTATCAGGCTCAGAGGCCGGCCCGCCCACCCCCACCGACCCGACCCGACCCGACCCAGCCCGCAGCCGCTGTTCCCGGGGCGGGGAGGTGGCGGGGTTGGGTCCGCGCCCCCCACCCCCCGCCGGCCCGGCTGACTCAGCGCGCAGCTATGCGGGTCTTGCATCACCCGCGCCAAAATCATAGCGGCTGCTAGTCGCTGCCGAGCTCGGCGCTCGCGAGGGGCCTGCCCGGGCCGGGAAGATCGCCCCGGGAGGGCTGGGAGGGGTGCAGTGGGAGTCGGAAACGGGAAGAGAGAGGGCCGGCGGCTGGAATGCTGGTCCCGGGGCAGGCGGGCCTGGCCGCGTTCCCCTGGCCCCGGGGCACCCGTCCTGGAAGCCCGAGAAGCGCTCTGCGCCTGCCCTGCAGCCCTCTCCCGGCCGGGCTGCACCCCTAATCACAAGACCGCAGGGCAGCAGAAAAACAAAAACGCTTTCCCTCTGCAAGGCCTCCGAAAGGTCCTTGACTTTTGGGGGGCGGAAGAGGGGCGGTTATAGGGGCCGCTCCTCCACATTCCTGGCCCGTGCCACTGGCCAGGTCCACCCAGGGCGCAATCGGAAAAATATGTGCCAAGAGCTATAAAGCTGTTCAGTGAACCCTTTTGACCCAGTAAACCCATTTAAGGAAGTACATTTCTAAGGAAATGATCCAAGGGGGGGAAGGAGGGAGGAGGGGGGGACTGGATAAAGATGTTTATAGCGGGGCTATTCAGAATGGCCCAAACCCCGAATGGACCCAGGGGTCCAGCCCCCTGGGGAGGAATCCAAACCAGCTCCGCCACATGAGCAGAGAGGGTCCTGGCACGGATGCGGGAGGCATGGCAAGCTCATGAAATGCTGGCAAGCTCTCGGAAAGATGTGTCGGAAGTAAGATTCAATAAAACAGCCAATACTGGAATGGAGGCACTATTTAAAACCGTGTAAGACGAGCAGCTGTAAGAACAGAAGGGGGATGCAGTTGTTTTTTAAGTGGGATGTTTTTCCTGTAAAGACGCTCAAGAGAACATTAAAACTTCAATACTGAAAAACTGTATGAACTTAGATGGGCCTCTCCAAAAAGGCTACAATCGGATGGATACCCACTAAGTAATGAATCTTAAGAGCCATTCTCAATGGCACGCCAGAGATAAGTCCGCACTTGGCAACTTAGTTCCAAACCCAGACCTTGTCAAAGTAACATTTTAATCAGTACGCGTTCCAGGCGCCTCCTATTTGTGTTGTGTTAAAGCCACCCTCACTGGGACTTAGGCAGGAGGATAACCCTGGCGGGATCCAAAACAGCTTTTTTTCCCCCTGCCCTGGCCTGTTTGCTCAGTGGTTAGAGCGTCAGTCAGCCCATGCACCGGAGAGTCACAGGTTCGGTTCCAGTCAAGGGCACGCACCTGGGTTGCAGGTTCAATCCCAGCCCCAGCCAGGGCGCGTGTGGGAGGCAACCGATGGATGTGACTCTCACATGGATGTTTCCATGTTTCACTCTCTTCTCTCTCTCTCTCTCTCTCTCTCTCTCTCTCTCTCTCTCTCTCCCCCCTCCCTTCCACTCTCTCTAAAACTCAATGGAAAAATATCCTCCGGTGAGGATTTAAAAAAAAAAAAAAAGGTACGTCCTTTAGGTCTTTATGTCAAGTGACTCATTCATACCTCCACAGACCACACCAGAAGGAGAGTGAGCTTACATCCTGCTTAGGCACTGAGGCAAAATAATGAGATAATCCACGATTACAGATCCTTTTTCCTAACGACAACGTAACATGCAAAGCAGAAGGGACACCATGTGGTTCTCAGGTTCCAAACTAATGTTTTCAGTGACGGCCTATATGTGTTTATGGAACTTGGTGGCCTAACAGGAAGCCATGGACCCAAATACTGGACATGAAAATTTTATGTAAAAAGAAAAAAAAATAGTGATCAGCAAGATACAGCTAATGGGCACCTTCTACTGATCATTTACATAGGTTAGAAAGAGCCATCGTGTAGAAGATTTTTTTAATCCAAGACCTCACCATTGTCTATGTGGAAGAAAAAAAAACCTAACCTCTTGATAGGAGTTAAATGCTTTTTATTTTATTTTATTTCATTCTTGGTCAGTAAAACAGTTCTTGTTTGACCAAAGTAATCGCAAATGCATTCTTGTAAAAGTTCAAACCAGCAATATATAGAACATACCTTAAAAATTACTCTCCCACATCGCCCCACACATACAATACATTCTCTTATCATTCAAGACTTCTATCATTCCCATACATAGGTATTTGTGTACCCACATATATATCTTTTCCCCACGTACATGGCATATACCATATCATGGTGTTTTGCAACTTGATTTTTCCCCCTTGATTAATAATATGTCTTAGAGATGCCTTTGTGTCTGCACACAGAAATCTGCCTCATTCTTTTCATTCTTTTTAACTTCTGTATGATATTGTGTGGTATGGATGAAGCATACGCTTCTTCACTCTCTATTAGAGAGCATAGTAGTTAAGAACAAACTCTGGAGATAAAGTGTCTGGGTTAAAATCCTGTCACCACCAAACACTAGCTCTGTGTGTTTCCGTTTCCTCATAATGTTTGTTTTAAAGTGCTTCGAATAGTACTGGCCCTCAATAAATATTAGTTATTATTAATATTTTCTTACTGTCACAAACATTGTTGCAGTTGGCATCCTTGTATTTTTGCCTTCAGGTGGACATATGTAAATAGTACTGGCTCCTAAAAGTGAAATTATTGTGCCCAGATGGTGTGTCTCAGTGGTTGAGTATCGACCTATGAACCAGGAGGTCAGGGTTCGATTCCCGGTCAGGGCACATGCCCAGGTTGCAGGTTCGATCCCCAGTGTGGGGTGTGCAGGAGGCAGCTGATCCATGATGCTCTCTCATCATTGATGTTTCTATCTCTCTATCCTTCTACCTTCCTATCTGAAATCAATAAAAATAATAAATGTTTAAAAAGTGAAATTGTTGCAACAACTGTTAAACAGTTACAGATACTGCCAAACTATCCTTTAAAAGACTACACCAGTTTATATTCCCACCCTCAGTAGAGAAACTGCCAATTTCCCTCTAGCTTTGCCAATATTAAATATTGTAAATCTTTAAATTGTGCCAGTTTCATGGGCAAACAAACTGGCACCTTGTTTTCGCTTGTATTCCCTTAATGACTGCTGGCGATGAGCATTTCATGTTTCTATTTCTTCTGAAATTACCTGTGTATACCTTTTGTTCATTGGATTTCCCTTTTTCTTACTAATTTATAGGAGCTCTTTATCCATTATGAATATTCCTCATTATTACAGTAGAATGTTAAAATATATGTCATAGATGGCAGTATTTTTTTTCTTCCAGTCTGTTGTTTGTTATTTAATTGTTTTTCAGCACCGTCTGTCACACAAACGTTTTTACCTTTTATGAATTCAAATCTACCAACATTTCCCTTCACATCTTCTGGGGTTCGCGTCCGGATCGGGAAGGATTTTAAACTCGGATTTTAGAACACACAGAGGACCGACACTGCAACAGGAAATGGCAGTTTCCTAACAATATCGACGCTTCTCATCCCCAACCAGCCACAGAGAGAGGGTCTCCTGTGCTTGCTCCTCTCAGCACCGTCCCTCTGCGGCTCTGCGGCTCTGTCCCAGGGGGGTGGCTTCCTTTTCAACACTGTCCCTTCTGCGTCCCGAGCACGGGTGCAACGGGTGGGAATGCGACAAAAAACTTTGTCCGATACTCAGGACGAGGGATGGAGAAGTGAGCACAGAGAACAGAGGGCGTTTGACCTGGCTGGCCGGCCTGGGTCTCAGGCTTTCATTCTACATAACTGGCTGGATCCGCAGGCCTCGGAAGTGCCACCCCCTTTCCTATGGATTGTGTCTGTTTCTTTTCTCTGTATTCCCAGCTCATCTCGAAGTGGTTGGTGTCGATTTAACAGCGACCACCCAGCAACAACTTCCTAGCTGTGGGGGCACTTCCAGTTTAAGCTGAAAGAACGGGGCTCCCTCTCCGGTCTACCTGAGCCCCCCACCTGCTCTGTTCCAGTTTTTAGTTTGTGGCATCTACGTCTCGCCCAGGAATGAACCCACCCTTCAGATGCCACCTTGCCCTCTGCTCCCATAAACAGGGCTGTACATGGACCTTT